TTTTCCGGCTGAGAAGAAGCTCAGCCACCAAGAATGAGTAAAAGTGAGTTTGAAGCGGTCGAGCGCAGGTGGCAGGTGTGGAAATCAGGGTGTTGCTAGAAGGGCCCCAGCACGGCTCAAGGCATCTGCTGATCTGAAGCGCAGCAGCAGCAGGGGTGATGGCGGTGGGTGCCCTGGCAGCACGGATGCTGTGTAACTGCTGCCAAACCACGCTTGTGCGTCACCAGCTCGTGTGTGCCCTGTGAGACATCCTGGTGAGGGACTGGGAAGTCAAGTTGCTCTACCTATGGATCTGGATGTTTGCAGAGCTGCAAGCAGATGAACTGTGCTTATCTGGGGAGACTTGTGTAGCCTAGGTGTGAAATTGGCTTCTGGTTGGACAGTCTGCAACCTGACTATATTTGTATGCTTACCTGCAGAGCATGGCTTTTATTCCTCTCTAAGCATTTTTTTTTTTTTTTTTTTGGGGGGGGGGGGGAATCCATCATCACTTAGACACTCTTCCTGTTTTGAAAAAGGGAATCCAGGCATAAAATGTTGATTTACTGAAGCAAGTAAGCTGCCTGGCTGATCTCTTTAGTATGGAGAGGACTGATTTGGTGTGCTATATATCAAAACTCTGGTATAACTGAAAGACAACAGCAAAACTTTCTCACATACTTTCAATTGAAGGAAAGCATTCAGCTCTTGCATTCATCAGTAACTATTTAATCAACAATAAAAATAGTCAGTTGGGATTCATTGACAGGTGGGAAGTGATTAACCTCTAGCAGCTATGGTGAAAACTGACCAAATTCTAATGTCTGAACATACACATTCTAATTTTTCTTGCCTTTTTTTTTTTAATTTAGTTTTTGCACTTACAAAAGATGTCTTCATTCATTTACCTCTATTAAAAACCTAAGAAAGGAAATGGCAACTCTTTATTCACAGATTTTTTTTCCAAGCATTTTACAATTTTAATGAGTCTGCTGTAAAGATTTCTTTTTAATTAGATTCAGCGTCACACTTCTCTGGAAGTATCTGAGAACAGAAGGAGAACAGAAAATAAAAACCTGTTTGATCCCAAGTTACCCATTAACAACATATTCCCAAGTTCTGTAACTATAGAAGGAGCTGCAAAAAAAAGTCAAGAGTGGTAATTCTCTATATAATAATTCCTGAGTTTGTCTTTAAACTGCAGCTTTGGCAATGACACGTTCCTTTGCATCACATAAAAAGAGAGCTCCACCTCTCTTTCCAGGATCCTCCAGTCACCCCACATAAAAACCTGTAGGAGAGACAGGTTTCGAAGCATCTTCCCATTTATAGGGAAAGGGGCTAAGGAGCCAAGGATATTTCATTAAAATGTCAAAAGACTTACCAGTGTCACCTGAAATCCCTAAAGAAGATGGCAGGCCCAAGTGGGACAATAAGTTCCAGTATATTTTAAGCTGTATTGGATTTGCCGTTGGTCTGGGGAACGTGTGGCGATTTCCATACTTGTGTCAGATACATGGAGGCGGTAAGATTGAAATGAGATTTTGCCGAAATATTAAACTACAATTCTAATATAACTGTACTAACTTATGGTGGGCATGGAAGTTATATATTTGCATCACTTTTTTTTTTTTATCTGTCTAATTCTCATCAATGTTTCACACCAGTTAGATTAGCTTTTTCTACGGAAGCATATTTCATTTTAAAATGATGCATTCATTTAGGAATTAAGACCAGACTGATGTTAACTCTCAGAAAAAATGGTGTTAAAGTTCTTACATTGCTGCTGCAGCCCCAATGGGAGCAGGAAACTGAACGTGCAGCTCATTACCTTAAGGAAAAGTGAAAAGTCCTGGGGAGGCCTGAGTGAACCGGCCCCAGACAAATGGTCGATGCGCTTTCCTTTGAGAAGGTGAGTGAATCACTCCCCTCCCTTCTCTGATGATCTTAGGAGCTACTTCATCATCTGGAACTGTCCCTGCACAAAACTAAATTGCACTTTTTGATGTCTGTGAGACTGATTAAAATGCTCAGCTGATAGAACATCAACAGGCGCCTGCCAGCGGGCGCGGACAGCTGCCCAAGCCTGTCCCTGGACGCCATTCCCACAAAGAACTGCTTTAGAAGCAGCCAGTTTAGTAAATATAAATGGATCAGAAAAGAGTACTTGATAACTCACCATTCACAGGAGACTTTGAGATCTGCCATGGTAAGCTGCCTAAAGCAGAGTGAGATAGCAAATTGTTTCAGCCAAGTATTATTCATTATCTTTCAACTAACTGGAGAAACAGAAAATTCAAACCTGGAGAAACTGTCAAATGACAGAAAAAATTATTGAATCCAAGCTTGTTCTACCAAGGTATCTGTATTACTTGATGAACTACATGTATTTGAGTCAACCAAGGAACCAAGAATGGATGCTGCCTTTAATGCAAGGAGGTGCTTCAGAAAGAAGTAGCCACTTAGGGACTGTGGTAAGTGGCTGAATGAACGAGATATAGCAGGTTGTATCAACAAAAAGAATCTTGTCATATATAAGCAAAGCACTAGGAAGTAGGTGGAGATGTTGCTACCGATACTAAGACAACTTCTAAACTTCTGACTTCTTCTGGAAGTCCACCTTTCGCAGTCGACTTGAAAAATTAGACAAAATGTAGAAAAGCCCCAACAATTATTCAAGGTCTGGAAAACTTATGGGACAAGGAATGGCTTAAGAATCCAATCTATTTAGCTCATGAAATTGAAAAAGAAAGTGTGTGTTTGTAACAGTCTATAAACAAGCCAATGGAAACTATTTAGGGGGCAAGGAGCTCTTTAACGTTGAACATGTAACAGCTGGAAACTACGATTACACAAATTCAAATAAGAAAACAGAAGAAGCAGTAGGTTAGATTCCTCCCAGGAGATTTAACATTTTCCATTATTTATTTACAAGATGTGAAACACAGTGAAACTCTCTCAGAAGAGTGCTATAACTGGGTGGTTAGAAAGCCATAGGCGCAAGCATGCTGTTTCTCTGTGTTTACCCATGGGAATGGCTGGAAAAAGCCTGTCACTTCAGTTGGTGATATATGCTTTAATGAGACATGATAAACATCTTTAGAGAGACATCCCCACAGCAGATATGGCATGGGGTCTGCAAGGAAGATGTTCTTCTGGAGCAGGAGCTGTAGGTCAGACAAATACCCCAGCGCATCTCAGGTGGCCTTTCTGTCTTGGAGCAAGGGAACAAGCATTCAGTATTAACAAACAACATAATAAAACTAACATAATGTGATATTTTTGTAATGTAATGAACAATTAACACAAAGCACTCAGTGGAAGCTTTGAAACTTACAGAGGGGACCATAGCAAGGTGCAGCTCCTCCGCACATCTCATTACTCAGAGGCCACCAACTGCATGAGGCTGCGTGAACTTTGTGCTTCAGGGTTTTGTGTAAATCTCTATTATGGATTAAGATGAAATATTGTTCTACTGACTGTAAAAAGGCTTTCACACCTTTGTATGAAGCATCAAGGCTTGCTTCTCTGTGATGGAGGCAAGGGACTAGCTGTGGCCAGTGGTTTTTCAACCTCTTCATATCCTGGCCTTGCTTCAGAAGACCAGCAACACTCGCCTGCTACTGAGGTTTGATCT